TTCCACTTCCTGTGAAATGGAAAAAAACATGTTCCACTTCCTGTGAAAAGGAATAAAACGTTCCACTTCCTGTGAAGAGGAAGAAACATGTTCCACTTCCTGTGAAGAGGAAGAAAACACATTCTACTTCCTGTGAAGAGGAAGAAACATGTTCCACTTCCTGTGAAAAAGAAGAAAACACGTTTCACTTCCTGTGAAGAGGAAGAAACATGTTCCACTTCCTGTGAAAAGGAAGAAAACATGTTCCACTTCCTGTGAAGAGGCAGAAAACATGTTCCACTTCCTGTGAAAAGGAAGAAAACACATTCCACTTCCTGTGAAGAGGAAGAAACTTGTTCCACTTCCTGTGAAAAGGAAGAAAACATGTTCCACTTCCTGTGAAGAGGGAGAAACACATTCCACTTCCTGTGAAGAAGCAGAAAACATAATCCACTTCCTGTGAAAAGGAAGAAAACACATTCCATTTCCTGTGAAGAGGAAGAACGCTAAGCTCTGCATGATGCTGAAGCTGCTGATAAGCTGAAATTGAGCTGTTAAAGCTAATCACATCCCAACACCAGCTAAAATCAGCTAAACAGATGTTATAATTTAAAAAAATTAGAATTAGCTAAATAGATGCTAATGCTAAAATCAGCAGAACACAAGCTAAAATCTAAATGTAACTAAACATTAGCTAAAAACAACAGAAAAATGTTACAATCAGCTAAACAGATGCTAAAGTTTGAAAAACAGTAGCTAAAATGAGTAAAACAGTGGCTACATTTAGCCAAACAGTAGCTAACGATAGCCAAACAGTGGCTAAAATGGGCAAAACAATTGTTAAAATCAGTGGTTAAAATTAACAAAATGTTTGAAAAAATTATCCAAATACTAGCTAAAATTAGCCAGACAGTGACAGTCAGTGACTGTTGATCGACAGATGATGGCTGGATGGATGATGGATGGATGATGGATCAATGTTAGATGAATGTATTTTTGGATGGATGGATGATAGATGGATGATGGATGGATGTATAGATGGATGATGGATGGATGATAGATGGATGAATGGATGGATGTTAGATGGACTGATGTATGTTAGATGTATGTAAGATGGATACTAGATGGATGGATG